TTGTTTGTTCATGGAGGAAACATCATTTATAAACACTGAATGTATTTTCAGCTAAGAAATGCCTCCACCTGCTGGACAACTAGAAGAACTACAGCTCCTTCCCAAAGATAACTGGCATTTCTGCAGCTTAATTTCATTATTCAAAACTTTACTCTGTAAAATAAACATTTAAAATATTCACGCATGTGTGTGTGTGGACTCTTAGTTTCTCAAATTTTAAAACAAAAGAAATTCTGTGAAATTTGAATTCCCTGGGAAAAAGTAAGAGGTTCAAATCCTTTAGTCTATTAGAGCAAAAACCTCATCCAGTTTAATGTTCATATTAAACTGGATGGACCAACTGTGGAAGATCAATTTAAACTGTAAACTTCAGACTAGAGAAAACAGGTCAGTCGCTCATCAACAATTAAATAAAACAGATTCGTCTGATCATTTGAGTTTTTAAGTCCAAACATCTTTATAGCCAAAAAGTTTTATAACACAACAACAATTTAAAATAACTTTTATACCTTGTTGTACTGACCTGAAAATGGTTAGGGTTAGGCAAATGTACAAAAATGATAAATATTCATTAAACTGAAATGTAAGCAACTATAAAACCAAATTAGTACAGACTCACGAATCTGGCTGGGCAACTTCTTTTTCTCTATATTTGTTCTTCCTGTTTTCTGGGAGTCAGCAGAGATAATAAATATAAACTAATTAAGATAAAATCTAGTCAAACTTCTAACTTTTGCATTAAAGGTTTTGAGAGTCTCTGAACTACATGTACATCAGAGAGCATGCGATTCTCTGGTTGTCTACAACCAGCAGGTTATTCATATTCCCAGTCAATTAAGAAAACAGAATGAGAAAGAGCAGTAAGGATTCCTCACTTCTTCTTTTCAGCGTTTTCTTGCTAAATTTCCAACAGAAAAGAATGCCAATGAAAACGAGTAGCCCACCAATAAGAAGAATAGAAAATCAGAAAATAATGATCATCAGTTTACCTCATTTACAAGAAACTGTTTGAATTCACGACATCGAGATCCTAACGGATCTTTGTAATTATAAATTCAAGCAGAACATCACAATTAACAGAAATTAAAAGGCTTGAAAACATCAGTCTGTGTGTAATTATTATAGATAACCTGTTTCCTAAAGTTGAATTGAGTTACTGAAGTAAATAAACTTTTCCACCAAAGTTGTGGTGCTTGAGGAGTTTTGGAAATTCTTAGGTATCTGAATCCCTGGTTGGATATTTAATTTAATTTGAATCAATCTGTTACATTTACAGGTCAGTGTATTACTATCGCTTCAGATTTGGATCGGTTGATTTGGGAACCCGAAGGTTCACCATGTTCCCCCATGAGTGAGGGAACAGACATCACCGGCTGTACAAGTCAAAATATCATCAGTGAAAAGTGAAATCTTGTGTTCTGTAGTATTTTTGCCTCTAATAACTAATAACTGAAATGATGGCCTCCGAGCAGGAACTTGATATTTCACCCTCTTAAGTGCTTAATTAAAGACTTTGGTTAATATTAGTGATGTTTTTGAAACATTTATAAAATTCGCCAGGTATTCCTGGGGATTTATTGCTTTCCAGTTTCTTAATTGCCTCCTGTATTTCTGTCTCTCTTACATCTGAAATCATATCAGCCGCTTCCTCTTCAGACAAGATGAGGGAATACTTTTATTGTTTTAATGGCTTTAATTAAAGTGATTTCTCATTTCTCACAATTGTTTTCACTTCTTCCTGTGACAACATGAACCTTTCCCACAAGACAGTAAATTATTCCCAACTATTCAGGTCAAAACAACAAATCTTTGTGTTCCCCTAAAACATATGAAGTCGCTCGCTGTTGAACTTTAACACTGAATCACAACCTAAAAAACCTGAAAGACTCTGTTTTACAAACTAAATAGTTTGTAAAAAAGAGTCTACACATACATAGTCTATACAGTTTATTCATACATAGATGATGAATATTTAAAACATTGGAATATATGTTATGGTCCTTTCATAAGATTAGGAAAATCTTATAAAAGAAGATTTTGAAAATCATGATTTAAAATCATTCAGAGTGATTTTAAATGAATCATTCTGATGTAATATTATAATCCTAAATGTCGTGTTTCCTCACAATTAACAGAAATAAAACTTTGTAAACATCCATCTGTATGTAATGACTCTATATATTCTATCAGGAGAATTGAGTTACTGAAATAAATTAACGTTTCAATAATACTCTAATTTATTTATATAGTTGTGATGTAAAAATGTGTCTTGGAGCGGAAAATGAAAAGCAGAACTGAAACCTGTTTTCAGTTTCTTCAGTTCAGCCAAAGTGAGACACAGGGAGACACGGCATGTTGGAAAGCTGCATGCAGATTCACTGTTTGAGGTAAATATGTGAATATTTTCAGTGAAAATGTCTTCAGTTCAGCCTCAGAGAGTTTATCAAGCAACAGGAAACTCCTGCTGAAGAAACATTCACAGAGTGGAAAGAAATCAACGTTAAGATGGAGGAAGAGATGGACGATCAGCGCAGACTGATGGATTTTACCCGGATACCCAAGATCATCTTGCACCGGATAGGTACGAAACAGCTTCACGGTTCACTGAAAGTTGGTTAAGAAACGCTGAACTCAAAGAGTTTTTACTCCAAACTAAAAGACTCTAATAAATCTGCTGCAACTGTAAACATTAAATACTTAAAAATGATCAGCAGAGATCTGGACTATTATTCATCACATAAAATGACATTTACAGTTTCTGTGACACCCTCATGTTTACCAACCAGATTAAGAAAGTACTGCTTAAAGTTTGAGTTTACCTATGTGTATTTAATTATATATTTAATTGTCTTTTTATAAACTATTTTATTGATAATCTATAGTTTTCTCAGTCAAAAGGCCGAAAGCCAAAGACATAACACGGCTGGTGAGCAAAAATGTAAAATATTCAAAATAAGAGCACAAACAGCGAACTTTAAATATATACAATTTTGAAATGAAAAACTATAAAGCCAACATTTGCAGAATATATCAACAATATCAAATAAAAATCTATTTGGTATTCTTTTTAGGCATTCTAAATAAATACACATTTTAAAAAATGTATCTGAGTCGTAAAATCAGTGACATTTTTTATCTGAACATTAAAATTTGAACTGTGGCTGCAGGAAACAGATTCACCCTGAGGATGTGTTTCTTTCCTGCTTCTCTGACGGAGGCCGAGTTCCTCCTTTAGTTCTTCATCTCACACTAATGTGTGTGTGTGTGTGGGGGGGGGGGGGGGGGGTGCGTGTGTGTGTGTGTGTGTGTGTGCGCGTGTGTGTGTGTGTGATATTCTCTGACTAATTGAGTAACAGTCTTCGAACGCTGCTTCTAAGGAAAAATATCAATTTGTCTTATTGGACCAATAAGAATGGAGTCACAATTTCTTGTTTTCAAACCCATAATATTTAACTTGCAGCCCTAAAAATTACAGGAATTATACAGAAATCTGTGAATGTTTCCATGTGACGATCAACTGTGGGCTTATCAAGGCCATGATCAATTTACTCTGAGGTTCATGGAAATGATACATAAACTCATACATGAGATTTACAGGATGTACATTTATTATTTAAATAGAGTCTATTTGAAGTTATAGTTTAGTTTTTCTTTTCTATTTGTGTATCTAGTTTTTCTGTTAAATTGTTGATCATTTAATGTTGTTTATGAGCTCAGAAGATTTTAACCTCAACTATCTTAAAAATGTAGACTGACTTAGTGACTGAATACGATCAATGAGAAGTAAAATGGACAGAACATTGGAAAATCACAAAAACGGGAACTTCAGGTTCCTCAGACTAGTGAGTCTCCATAGGAACGGGACATTGAGGAAGTTGAGGTTTCCAGACAGTTAAAGGCAAAGGACATCATATTTGGAGAAGTGTGTGTGTGTGTGTGTGTGTGTGTGTGTGTGTGTGTGTGTGTGTGTGTGTGTGTGTGTGTGTGTGTGTGTGTGTGTGTGTGTGTGTGTGTGTGTGTGCGTGAAAATAACTTGCTGAAAACTGGAAGTTCCAGTTATTAAGGATAGATGGGAAAATATATTTACTCACAGGACTTTTAAAGAATTACTTACAATGAAAATAAACCAAACTATCCAGTCGGACATTTGAAACTTAGGTCAGAAAGATTTAAGCTGTCGCTGTCTTGCTTTCTCAGCTGGAGATCTAAAGTATGTCTTGACTAATTTCAAGATACGTCACCATCGGAAGAACTTCACTGGTTAAGTTCATTTGTCTATTTATAAGTTTGTAATTGGAGAATAATCCGAGAAAAGGCTTAAAGTGATTAAAATGAAGGCTTTAATACTCTGTTCACCTTTAAAATCTTTTGTTTTTTTTATTTGCAGATGAAGTAGGACATCAACAGTTCAAAGAAGAGAATAAACTCCACATCGGTCAGGATGAAGAGCAGTTGGCGCTAAAACAGGAGACTGATGACATTTTTGTGAATCCTTATAATGTGCAAGAAATTCACAATGAAACAGAACCACAGAGGAACCAACTCATCTCTGATGACTCTGCTGAGGATGAGAACCAGGATCAGGAAAGAAGCAATTCTGAAGATCTAGGAAAAAAGAGAAAGGAAGAAAAACAAAAAAACCACAAGAAAACTCAACCAGACCAAAAATTATATTCTTGTAAAGTTTGTGACCAAACATTTCCTCGAAACAGTTACTTAACTAGTCACATGAGAACTCATACGGGCGAGAAGCCTTTCACATGTTCTACCTGTGGAAAAAGTTTAAGATCCAAGGTTAGTTTAATTTATCACATGAGAACTCACACAGGTGAAAAACCGTTCACATGTGTTACTTGCGGAAAAGATTTCCGTCAAAAAAGCAGTTTGAAAATTCACATGAGACTTCATTCAGGTGAGAAGCCTTACTCATGTACAACCTGTGGAAAAAAATTTTATCTAAAAAATTCTTTTAATGTTCACATTAGAACTCACACAAGTAAACGGATATCATGCATTCATTGTGGGAGACGTTTCATTGAGAAATCATTAAATCTTCATATGAGAATTCACACAGACGAGAAACCTTTCTCATGTGGAAGCTGTGGAAGAAGTTTCCGATGCAAAACACATTTAACTCGTCACATGATGATTCACAGAGGTGAGAAGCCTTTCACGTGTGTGGCCTGCGGAAAAAGTGTCAGAACAAAATTTGAGTTACGTCTTCACATGATGATTCACACAGGAGAGAAGCCATTCTCATGTGGTAACTGTGGAAAAAGTTTCCGACGCAAAATATATTTAACTCGTCACATGATGGTTCACGGAGATGAGAAGCCTTTCTTATGTGCGACCTGTGGAAAAGGTTTTGTCAGTAACGCAACTTTAATTTATCACATGAGGACTCACACTGGAGAGAAGCCTTTCTCATGTGTGACCTGTGGAAAAAGTTTTGCCTGTAGAACTTCTTTAACTTATCACATGAGGACTCACACAGGAGAGAAGCCTTTCTGCTGTGTGAACTGTGGGAAGTATTTTGGACACAAATCCAGTTTAACGCGTCACAATATGATTCATACAAATGAGAAACCTTTCTCGTGTGTGACCTGTAGAAAAAAATTCCCAAGAAAATCTTATTTACTTCGTCACATGAGGACTCACACAGGTGAGAAGCCTTTCTCATGTACAAGCTGTGATTAAAGCTTTTCTAATAAAATTGGCCTAATTTACCACAGAAAGACTCACAGTGATGAAAAGTATTTGGCTTGTGGGACTTCCAATCCAAATCTCAGTTCAATGGTCATATGCAAAGTCACACAAGTGATAGGCGCTACTGAAGGTAGCAAATAAATAGGTGGAATTGCCCTTTAGCCATTTCCCTGTGGGCCTCCGTATTTTATTATTTGTTGTATGTATTTTTTTCATGATTTTGGTTAGTGGATACATGTTGGCTGTTACTGTATGTACTGGTAGCATCACAAATGAATTGTGCTTTGATTACAATGTTTTCAGCATTTGAGAAATAAAGGCTTTCAAACATCCATCTGGTGTTTTTAATGCATATAACGTGTTAGACTTGGTGATAAAGATTATGAACTAAATGGGCTTTTAGGTAATATTCTAATGTATTGAATGAGTAAATTGCTGTGTACTTGCTACATCTTTGGTGTATAATGTTAATAGATTCCTGATGGATGCCCATCAGATATTTGCTGTTTTGTTTTTTTGTTTGTTTGCTTGAATGTGGAAATTCACATTTACATGTAGATGTAACATTTAAATGTTACATTTATAACTGTAACATATATACATTTATATAGTTAAATGTCTTAACCGTCTTAAATTATGGTTTCCTCTGACCGAACCCCTTATGAGACATTTCAAAGTCACACATTTTCCACATCACAATCAATAAAATTATGACTGTGTTTAATTTTAGTTGGACCAATAACTGCATTATGATTCGCTAATCACTCATAAAATATCATTATTATTAAATGAACAGTTTATAAACTAGTACGTTGTGTGTTTGGTATCTACAGAGCTGAATATATGAATGAAAATATATTAGACATGAAAAAACAGGCCAAGAATTTTTCAAAATAACCAGAATGCTTTTCCTGTTTTGAAGAATATAATTAATTACCTTTCATGTTTTCACTTCTTCCTATGACAACATGAACCTTTTTTCACAAGACACTCAGTTGTTCTCGATCTTTTCAAGTCAAATGAACAAATCTCTATGTTCCTCTGAAATATATGTTGTTATTCACGGTTTAACTTTAATACTGAATCATAACTTGCAAAACTGCAACTAGATATAATAACAGACTCTGTTTTACAAACTAGAAAGATCATACGCAAAAATTACAATATATGTTCCAATATGGTGATTTCGTAAGATTAGAAGTACCCTTGGATAACTAACTAAAAAGCTCACATTTGTTGAAGTGAGGGCTCCAAACTCATTTTTTATTAATCAGTATAGTGTAACGTTCAAATCATAAATGCTGCGTTTTCCCATAATTAACAGAAATAAAAGGTTTGGAAACCTGCATTTATTTATGTAATTATTCACTTGGGTGAATTAAGTAAAAATAAATTAACCTTTCAATAATATTCTGATTTACTTACTATAATTGTATAACTATAAGAGGAAAGATGCAGAGGAACATTAAAAGCGGAACAAAAAGCTCGCGTACCGTTTCTTCAGTACAGTCAAAGTGAAACACGCGGAAAAGCACCGAGCAGCGGTAGCGTTAGCTTTTCCTTTGTTAGGTTAAATACGGGTAAAAACGGGAGTATTTGCTGTAAAAATGTCTTCAATGCAACCCCTTAAGAAGGAGCAGGAAAGTCCTGCTGAGGAAACATTCACAGAGTTTAAAGTAATCAAAGTTAAGATGGAGGAAGAGATGGAGGATCAGAGAGAAATCCTCATTAAATCAGAGGAAGAGAGGGAGGATCAGAGAGAAATCCTCATTAAATCAGAGGAAGAGATGGAGGATCAGAGAGAAATCCTCATTAAATCAGAGGAAGAGAGGGAGGATCAGAGAGAAATCCTCATTAAATCAGAGGAAGAGATGGAGGATCAGAGAGAAGTCACCATTAAATCAGAGGAAGAGATGGAGGATCAGCGCATATTGCTGGATTTTACCCGGATACCGAAGATCATCTTACACCGGATAGGTATGAAACAGCTTATTTTTCTTTTACTGTTGATCGAGGTTATAGGGAACTGGAGGCAGATTAAGGAGCTCTGAACTCAAAGAGCCCTGATTGCTGCTTCTCCATGTTTGGTTCTGGATGCAGAGCAGATGAGAACATGCATTTTAAGGCAAAGCAAATTATTACCCTGCCGATATCTGCATGCCCTCTGTTTTCCTCAAATCTTATCCTATTGATATAAAACTCAGACCAGCAGCTAAGAGAACAAGAATGATTATGTAGAGAAGTTAAATCCTTCCTAACTCTCTATTTGAACAGAGATTTTGATGCATCAAAATGCTTTATGTGTGATCATTTTCTTATGTGGACAAAAAGCAACAAAAGAAAACGTACATCTGCATCTGCAGCAACTGAGTCAGTGAAGTAGGTACATATGCTAGTGTGGGTTATTTGTGGCCATTTCTTCAAGTCGCCATCGCAGCCCCTACAGGTAGTGGTAAACCAATATGGCCACATTTAAGCTGTGGTAACTGGAGCCTAAATCCTCGGTGGAAAGCCGGTTAGTGAGTTGCTAACATGTAAACAAATGGCGGTTCCGGTTTGCAGCGGAAGACGTGTCCAAAAATCACGCAAAGCCTCATGGGGGATAGGAATAAGGCGGATTATTCCTCAACCACCAGGGGGCTCTTTAGCAGGAAGCGAATCATTGGAAGTCAAAGAAGAAAATGCTGATTTTCACTCAGAATAAGCGCGTGCTAGCAGCAGACACGAGAAAAATGTTTTCAAATTCATAAACCTGATCATGAAAACCACACAAAGTTGTTCATATTATGCAGCTTTAAGTTCAAGGCTATTGATCTCGGAGTAAGATATGTATGTCAGGAAGCCACTAAGTTATCGCCATCTTGTTTCCTATTATAAGGTACCTAATATCATATTTTGCCTCACATTTGGTTCCAGTCTGGTTAGAAGAAACTCATTGGTTGAGTTAATGTTCATTCTTGTAAGATTATAATTTTAGAATAACCCAAGAAAATCCTGTTTTATTCATCAAGAGGTTAAAGTGAAGGATATCTTTTTTGATTGAAATTTAAATGCTTTTGTTTTGTCTTTTTGTCCAGATCTCCCACAATGTTGTGTGTGTAAAACAGAGGAGGTTCTTGATGAAACAGAACCACAGAGGAACCAACTCATCTCTCATGGCTCTGCAGAAACTGAGAACCAGGATCAGGAAGGAAGCGATCCTGAAGACCCAGAAAAAAAGAGAAATGAAGAACAGAAACAAAAGGAAAAGTCTGAGAAAACCAAACGGCAGAAAGACAGAATGATGCTGAAAAAGAAAAGACTGGTTCAATTTATCATGTCAAAACTTACTCAGGTGAGAAGCCTTTTTCATGTGTGATGTGTGGAAAAAAGTTCACCCTAAAAGGAACTTTAAATGATCATATGAAAATTCACACAGGAGAGAAGCTTTTTTCTTGTGGGACCTGTGGAAAGAGTTTCCAAAAGAAAATAAGATACTTGATCATATGAAAATTCACACAGGAGAGAAGCTTTTCTCGTGTGGGACCTGTGGAAAGAGTTTCACCCTAAAAGGCAATTTAAGTATTCATATGAAAATTCACACAGGTGAGAAGCCTTTCTCATGTGGGACCTGTGGAAAGAGTTTCCGGAGGAAAATGCATTTACTTGGTCATATGAGAATTCATACGTGTGAGAAGCCTTTCTCATGTGGGACCTGTGGAAGAAGTTTCTTGAAGGAAAAGCAATTACTTAAACACATGACTATTCATATGGGTGAGAGGCCTTTTTCATGTGTGACTTGTGGAAAAAGTTTCTTGAGGGAAAGGCAATTGCTTGATCACATGATGGTTCATACAGGTGAGAGGCCTTTTTCATGTGGCACCTGTGGAAAGAGTTTCATCCTGAAACAAACTTTGGATCGTCATATTAAAATTCACACAGGTGAGAGGCCTTTTTCATGTGGGACCTGTGGAAAGAGTTTCGGGAGGAAAACGACTTTACTTAATCACATGAGGACTCATACAGGTGAGAAGCCTTTCTCATGTGGGACCTGTGGAAAAAGTTATAATCATAGAAGTAGTTTAACTCAACACATGAAGACTCACTCAGACTAGAAGCCTTAAGCCCAAAACACCTCGGATACTTTTTGCCATCAGATCCATTGGAAAACTAGGTCGGATATTTTTATTGTACTTATACTTTGTTTTATTTTCATGCTTACTGTATGCACTGTTGTAGCCACAGACAAATTTTGCTTCAGCAATGATGTTTTCTGTATTTTAATCTAAATATACAAGATTATATACATTGGATGCAGAGGTGTCTTAGTAATCTGTACAACCTACACTAGAGTATAAGCATGAAGATACGGTACTATACATTGTGGTACAAACGTCAAACGGACAATATCAGACAAAAATACCAGCCGTTAAGTATACACAACAGCCACATTTCTGTATTATAATGTGTAGTGAAAATTGTGTTATTTCTTTTAACTATTTTATTTAATTACTATAGTTATTATTTATTTATTGTTCGGTCTGATAAAGTATGTAGATCAAGAACCAGTCAGATGGGTTTCATGCTGACCTCTCTCTGCAGCAGTTGCAACAGACTGATAAGTGGACTAAATGTCTCACCACAAATACCAAAGCAAGGCGCCAGAGTTTAACAGATAACAACAGATAGTTTAGGTAAATATAGTAAGATGGAATAAGCCCTAAGGTCTAACAAATTTCTCCATTGAATGTCAGAGGCTCAGAGTACGTACGAGGTCTGACAATGATTTTGGTTTGCAAAATTGTTCCATTAGCATCCTGATTTTTAGAAACTCCCATATTTTGAACAAGAAGATGTTTATTAACTAAACATCTTTCAGTAAGGAAGAAGTCTCTGAGGCTACATGACTGTGCAGTAAACCTGTTCAACTGGAATTGACTCTGAGCCAAGGCAGTGACCATATTGTGTAAAGAATCCTATATATTGTGAGAGCAGCAGGTACAGCTGCTGTGCTGTGGTTGCTGTGTGTTCTCCGTTTACAAACAACAGAAATAAATAATTTCTCTCTTTGCTATTTGCCAGTCTCAAGCCTGGTCTGTTCACAGAGATTAGATTTTTTTCCCCACAATACATGTTTTTCTCTTGGTTTGATGTTATGTTGTGATTTTAAATGTCATGTTTTCATTTTCTGTAAATGGAAAATCATCTTTCAATAAAAATACAGGCTTTCAAACATCCATATATGTGTAATTAATGCATGTACTGTGTTAGATTTATGAGATTATACAGATTATGAGATAAATGGAATTTTAAAGTGATTTGCTCT